AATAGACACTTCTCCAAAGAGGACATACGGGTGGCCAAAAGACACATGAGAAATTGCTCAACATCCCTAATCATCAGAGAGATGCCAATGAAAACCACAATGAGGTATCACTTCGCACCTGTCAGAAGGGCTCCATCAACAAATCAACAAACACACATGTGCTGGCGAGGGTGTGGAGAAAGGGGAACCCTAGTACACTGCTGGTGGGAATGCAGACTGGTGCAGCCACTATGGAAAACAGTATGGAGGTTCCTCAAAAAATTAAAAATGGAGCTGCCTTTTGACCCAGTGATTCCACTCCTAGGAATGTATCCTAAGAATCCTGAAACATTCATCAGAAAGAATATATGTACCCCGATGTTCATAGCAGCACAGTTTACAATAGCTAAGATCTGGAAACAGCCCAAGTGCCCATCAGTAGATGAGTGGATAAAAAAGCTGTGGGACATTTACACCATGGAATACTACGCAGCTGTAAAGAAGAAGAATCTCGTACCCTTTGGGACAGTATGGATGGACCTGGAGAATATTATGCTAAGTGAAATAAGCCAGGCAGAGAAAGACAAACATCACATGATCTCGCTTATACGTGGAATCTAAAGAACTTAATAAACTGATGAACAGAATAGATTCAATGACATGGAAGCATAGATGAGACTGACGAATGTCAGAGGGATGGAGGAGGGTGGGTGGGTGGAGGGGGAGAGAGTAACCAAAGAATTTATATGCATATATGTACAACCCAAGGACATGGACTATGGTGTGGAGAGGGACTGGGGAGGGGGATGGGACGGGGTGGAATGGGTCATTAGGGAGAAAAAGGGACATCTGTAATATTTTAAACCAAAAAAAAATTAAAAATAAAAATAAAATAAAATAATAAAAACAAAAGGAAAGGAGGAAAAAAATAAAATAAATAAAATTAAAAAATAAAGTTAATTTTAAAAAGTCATGCTCTGGCTGGTGTTGCTCAGTGGTTAGAGGTCAACCTGAGCACCAACCAGTCACAGTTCGATTCCTGGTCCAGGGCAAGTACCTGGGTTGCAGGTTCAATCCCCCACCCTGGTCAGGGCACATGGGGAGGCAACCAATCAATGTGTCTCTCTCACATCAATGTCCCTGTCTCTCTCTCTCTTCCTCCCTCCCTCTCTCCCTCCCTCTCTAAAATTAAATGGAAAAAATATCCTCAAGTGAGAATTAACAACAAAACAAACAAATAAGCAAAATAATAGTAGTCATGAGCCCTGGCTGGTGTGGCTCAGTTGGTTAGGCATCGTCCCATGCACCCAAAGGTTGCCAGTTCGATTCCTGGTCAGGGCACGTGCCCAGGTTTCAGGCTTGATCCACAGCCGATTGATGTTTCTCTCTCACATCAACGTTTTTCTTTCTCTCTCCCTCTCCCTTCCCCGCTCTCTACAAATCAATAGAAAATCTCAAAAAATAAATAAATAAATGACAGGGCTCTGACCAGATAGCTCAGTTGGTTAGAGCATTGTCCCGATACATCAAAGTTACAGGTTCGATCCCAGGTCAGGGCACATACAAGAAGCAACCAATGAATACATAAGTAAGTGGAACAACACATTGATGTTTCTTTCTCTCCCCCTTCCTCTATTTGAAATCAATAAATAAAAATTTAAGAAAAAATAAATAAAAGATAGCAGTAATGAAGGGTTTTAACATAGGAATTCGTTTATTCAAAGCTCAACTTACTCTTGTCTTTTCATGTACATTTTAGCATAGGTTTATAATTTCAAGTTGAGAAATATTGACAAAAAAACAAGCAGGAGTTATAGAGTTGCACAATTCTATAAAGCAAGAGGCAAACTAGGAGTGCATGCCTACATGAGCAAAGACAGTGGGTATTTGGCTCCTCTGTTTCCTACTTTTTCTTCTCTTTTGAGAAAATCTACCCCCAGCAAAAACTCTCCACTGTGCCTTTTAAAAGTCATATTATTCATCACAAAGAATGGCAATGATTCAAAACTTATTAGTGACAGCCCACTTGGTTTATCTCGGAATAGAAAATGGCTGAGGCTATGACTCATCCATGAATGCCTCTCTATTAATTAGGAAATAGCAATGATGATGAGTATTTAAGGGAGTGAAAATGGACAACAGATCTTTAATGAAACAGAATATCCTTATGCTAATTTAGAACTTTCTAGAGAAATAGGTTTGCCTCCTGACATCAAATGAACAGGAATATGTTGACTACAAAAGAAACTCACCTTGAAGTCGAAGTCGAGCTGTATCCAAAGGAAAAAACACTGTCATTGCTGTCACGCTGCCCTAAAAAGTTTGAAAAGCCTTTAGTCATTACACATCACAAGACAATGAGCCACAACTTTTAAACCAACAAAAGCTCACTGTTAACGATGGGTCAAATCAGGTTTTCAGCAAACAAATGCATGCAACATTTTAACCTATTGGGATTATTACTGTTCAAACTTCTATAATTATGTATTTAAACAGAAGTACTACATTTTCTGGAAGAAATATTTTTTCTCACTGATATTGAAAAAAAATGTAGTGGGTCCCTAGAGATGAAAATCAATCTTAGGGGTTTGGAACCTAGGACACATGTCGAAGATAGCAGGTAAATGGATTTTTAACCTTTCACAGGTCAGTTGCTGCTCCGATGCTCTGAAACCAAAATATCCAGTAATCATAGAGATAACTACTTCTACCCTCCATGCTCAGTCAAGATATTCACCACAGCCCAGCCGGTGTGGCTCAGTGGTTGAGCACTGACCTATGAACTAGGAGGTCACAATTCGATTCCTGGTCAGGGTACATTCCCAGGTTTTGGGCTCGATCCCCTGGAGGGGGCATGCAGGAGGCAGCCGATTGATGATTCTCTCTCATCATTGACTTTTCTTTCTCTCCCTCTCCCTTCATCTCTCTCTAGAATCAACGGAAAACATATCCTCCGGTGAGGATTAAAAAAGAAAATTTAAGGGTGAAAAGGGGGCTTCCATTTCTAGCAATATGTGACCTAGACAATGTGCTACAAAATACCTACCACTGTTTAATAAAATATTAAAAATGTAAAAAGAAATACAACAAACACCCTTTAAATCCTTAGCTGAACTCACGGGAAAGTAAGGGAAATCCACTGAGGCCTGAAAGAAGAGTAGAAACCCATAGTGTTAAGCATAGAAACCCACAGGCTCTTCAGCTCTGGTTGCCTGAGAATCTTCTGTCAGTCTAAATGCTTAAAAGACTCCATTATTTTTAAATTGAAGTGAAATTCACATACATAAAATTAACCATTTTGAAGTATACCATTTAGCGACATTCAGTACATTCAGTGTTGTGCAACCACCACCTCTGTCATGTTCCAAAATATTTTCATCACCTCAAAAGAAAACTCTGTACCCATTAAGCAGGCACACCCCACTTCCCCCTTCACTCAACCCTGACAGCCACTAATCCGCTTGCTGTCTCTATAGATGTATCTATTCTGGATATTTCACATAAAAAGTTATGTAACATGTGACCTCTTGGGTCTGGCTTCTTTCGCTTAGCATGTTTTCAAGGTTTATTATCCACCTTGTAGCGTGTGTCAGTTCTTCATTTCTTTATGTGGCTGAGTAACAGTCCACTATGTGCAGACACCACATTTTGTTTATCCATTCAAAATGCCTGAAGTGAGACAGAGGTAAGAGTTACACATTGTGAATGTACTCAGTACCACTGAACTGTACACTTTAAAATAGTTAATTTTGTTATGTGAATTACACATGAATTTTACTAAAAAGCATTTAATCTTCACAACAATCTAATGAGTTAGGTACCATATTCTTTCCACTTTACAGACGAGGAAACATGCTAAGGTTTTGCAGCTTGTCTAATGTCATATACCTTGCCAGGGACAGATCAGTATTTGAACAAAGGCAGCCTGGCTCCAGAGCCTACTCTTAACCACTGCTGTAATTAAAACTTTTTTAAAAAATTACTGATACAGAATGAAAAGCTAGCACTTTAAAAAGGTACTAATATGGGGCCTATTTTATGTGTCAAATATTTTTTGTAGACTAGTCCGAAAACCCAGCAGAGCATGGCAAAGCATACGCCCTGAAATTGTTAATGAATGTTTGGCTGTATGCACCTACAAGTAGACTTAATATCCACAGGGAAATGTATTCCAAATGCTAAAGGTAAATTTGAAACATAGCTATTCTGTACACTGGGGACTTGCTATATTTGTCTCCTTGCCAAGCAAACACACAGATGACTGTTTCACAAGCAGCAGTTACCAGAAGGAAAATATTATATATGCGAGTCTTATGCTAAGCTACATAAGCACATGATTTTTCAGAATTTGAATTAAGTTCCTCTTTACATAAATAATCAGGTTTTTTTCTCTCTCTAGGACTGTATGTTCCCTTACATAAAATTAGAAGGCACAAAATGCCAAGAAGATAACCACAATGTATAATACTGTTCTGTTAGAGAGGCATAAAAATAAATCCATTGTTTTGAGTCCCACAGAATCCTATCTGAGTGGGAGTTGTATTGCTGACAATTATTAAAATTTAAAAGAATCAATTTCCAGAGAAAAACCTTCTTGTATCTTACCAAAACATTTTCAGACTTAACATTCTACCATCTCCCTCCGGCATTTAACCATTCAGTGTTGGAAAAATAAATTAGTTCCTACACTGCACTGGTACCTGGAGCTGGGAAAGCCTTTAGAGATCACCTAGCAGTGGAGTCCCTTCACCTGAGAACTGAGGAGTCTGGGCCAGGGTTAGCTAAGAGGTCTGCCTGAAGCCAGAGCGGCAGAGATGGACTTAGAATCCCTCGGACTCCGAGTACTACTGTTCACTGTTCTACCTCAGTTCTCTACCTTTTTTCAAATCAAGATATAAATGACTTTTAACCTTTACTCTTTCTCCCACATATAAAAGTGTACACAACAAAAACACACATACACAAATCTTAGAAAATCAAACAAGAAATACTTAACAGTGATTATACTGGGAAGGAAAACAGTTAAGGGTTAACAATAAGTATGTTTTAGTTTTGAAGTGGAGAAAAAGCAAATTTTTTTTAAAGACCTCAGAATACAAGAGAGTAATGTAGCCTAGGCATTCTCAAAGTACAGTATGGACATCCTTGGAAGTCCCCAAACCCTTTCCAGGGGTTTGCAGGATCAAAATTTCTTTCATAAGAATGCTACGGCATTATTTACCTGTTTCTTTCTCATTTTCTCAGTGTGTAATAAAGTTTTCCAGAGGCTACATGATGTGTAATATTACAACAGACTGAATGTAGAAGCAGATAAAAGGATCCAGCTGTCTTCTGTTATGTCAAAGAGAGGTTTTACAAAAATATAAAACGCCATTCTTTTTTTTTTAAATAATAGTTTTAAAAAGTTAAATGTTAGCATGTAATAGGTTTCATGTTTTTAATGAATAAATGTCTTGATGATTTCTCAATGGATACTGAGTTATAATCACATAAACAAAAGCTGTTCAGGGTCCACAGTAATTTTTAAGAGTATTTAACACATCGCTTCTACTATACCTTTCAGCTGATGGTATCACACTAGTGTGATATACAATGTTGAAAACTTCATACTACCTCTGGGTTGGCCACTGTCCTCTCCAGGAAACTCTTTAAAAGGTAAGTAACTCTATGAAGAATAAATATAGCCTAGAATTGACACCTTAGAGAGAATCATTTATTAGAGGCATTTTTTTAATGATGGGTACTACATAGCTAATAAAGAACATCCAATAGGATGCTAAAGGGGAAGCAAGCACAAGTCTGGATGGAAGTGAACTGCCATTCTGGACATTCAGAAGCTCGTATCATTAAAATACAGCGAGCAAAATCAAGAGTGGGATGAAAGCCTCTAGGGGTGAGGGGGTCAAGTCAAAGGCTTTTGCTAAGTATATTAAGGACCATTCTAGTGACCGATTTGAACAGATGTGGGAAGAGGGAGAAGAGGAACTTTAAGGACCACTCTTAGGTTTCTGGCTTAAAGAACCAGGGTAACAGTATTGTCATTAACTGAGATGGTAAACACTGCAGGGGGAGCAATTCTGGAGCAAGAGATACTGAATTTGGGTTTGAATTAGCTAAAATTTAAGCATATCAAAGACTTCTACTTGATGTCCAGGAGGTAACCAGATTATCAGTCTGGAGTTCCAGAGATTCTGGGATAAATATGAAGATTTGGAAGTCATTAGAATATCGCATATTTCCTTACCTTAATGACAACAATGACAGTACCATGACTACGGATTCTGTTTGTTAGGGATGAGTGGGATAATTATTTCACCAACAATATGTGAATGTATAGTTTTTATTTTCATAATCAAATTTTTATTCTCAAAAATATATGACATGCCAGGACATTTTGTGTTTATATTTTCTATTTCATTAATTTCTTCTCTTATCTTTATTGCCTTCCTTTTTCCCCTTTTTGGATTTATTTTGATATTCTTACGTAACTTCTTGAGATGGATGCTTCTCATTACTTTTAAGTCTTTCTTCGTTTCCAAATATGACTTAAAGGCAATACATTTTCCTCTAGGTATTTTAGCTGTATCTGACAAGTTTTTCTTTTCTTTACAATTCGGTAGTTTTTAATATATCCACAAGCTGTGTGGCCATCATCAAAATGTAACTCCACAACATTTTTATTACGTCAAAAGGAAACCCATACCCATTAGCAGTCATTCCCCATTCTCTCCTCCTCCTGCACCCTGGAAAACAATAATCTATTTTCTGTCTCTATTTTGCCTATTCTGAACATTTCATATAAATGAAATCAAATACATGAACTTTTGTGACTGGCTTCTTTCAAGACTCACCCATGTTGTGGAATCAGAACTTCATTCTGTATTATAGTTGAAAAATATTCTAGATACATCACATTTTGTTTATCCATTCATCAGTTGATGAACTTGTTTCCACTTTTTGGCTTTATGAATGCTACTATGAACATCCTTGTGTAAGTTTTTGCATGGATATGTTTCCAATTCTCTCAGAGTGCAATTGCTGGATTGTATTGGTAACTCTATGTTTAACATTTTGAGGAACTACCAAAAGGTTTTCCACAGTGGGTGCACAATTCTATATTCCCACGTGCAAAATATGAGGACTCTAATTTCTCAACATCTTTGCAACACTTATTATCCGTTCTTTTAATTACAGATATCATAGAGGGTGTGAAATGGTATCTCACTGTAGTTTTATTTTCATTTCCTTGATGACTAATGCTGTCAAGCATCTTTTCATATATCTATTGGCTACTTGTGTATCTTTTCTACTGA